GATCAGCCAGTGCTCTGAATTGTGCCAGACCTTGAAGGTTGTATGTACACGATAATGAAGTGCTTGCTTTTCCTCCTTTCAGAATGCATTATTGGTGAATTATTATTTACCTAACTATACTATAGTCTCAACTGTTAGTGAGACTGTAACAGGGGCACCATCTGGATGGTTGCAAGTCCCTAGAGGCCACCAAAATTCTCCTTTTTCCCTGTTCACTGTGGGAATGGTCTCTCTTTCACTTTCCTGCCATGTCTTGATGTCCCTTATGGTAATAAAGGGGAGGTGTGCCGAGCTTCCCAGGCTTGTTCTTGCTTCAAGGAGCACCTGGAGGTGTGGGTCCCTTGCTTTAATGGCTAATGGCATGGCTCCATACTTCCCTATACACCGTGTCCTATGCCTTGCAGACTTTGAATCTCCAATGAGACTTTTTGTTGGGGTTTTAGCCTTCCTTGCTTCTGCCCCTCTACTTTGGTTGATCCCACACCCCAGGTCCACTGCTCTAGGCATGGCTTCTGGGCCCCAGCCCCAGCCCTCGCTCTGCCTTGAACCTGTCCCAGCAGGGCTCAAGAGAAGCGCATACCCCTGGGATGTTACTGGGTCATCTGAAAACCACTCCTCATAATCTACCCCAAACCACCGGTTTAAATTGCAACATGAACATTAATCCCCTAGGCTACAGCATAAGAAGAAAATGAAGGCTGTATGCAAGCATCTCTTTCTGTCTCTGGGTCACTCTTTCTTGTTCCCCAGCCTGCAGAGCTGCTTTCTTCCTGTTCCACAACTCTCAGGGCTGTTCCCCCACTGGCTCAACCCCAGGGCTTATATAGCTCTGGCCTAAATCCTCTCCTAGTCATGTGATGCCCCAGTCAGCTGACCTGACTACAGGGCTGTTTTTAACCCCTGCTCTTCCAGCTGGCTGTGCTCTAAAAACTCTGCCCTGACAGGGGCTGTACCACTTTCTAGTAACAGGGCCAGGAGTCCCTGTTACAGTGACACAGTGTCTAGGCTCAAAAAGGTGTCCTACTATTTTCTCTTTGACTCTACTAGGAAAGTCCAAAAGTTACATAAATAAATGGAAGGATTTATTAATCTGCATCTCTTCTTGCTTCTTGTCTTCTGTTTCCTTTTCTTTTACTCCCACATCAAGCACATTCATGCCTTCACACCACCCACTTTTTATCTTATTTCTTATTCCTTTTTATTAACAGGTTTTCTTCTTTCATATGCACTCCATTATTTGTCATCTACTAAGAACCATCCCTCACCTAACCACTTATTATAAAGTTTCTTCTCTCCTATTGTTCTCTTTTTTCTGTCCAGTATCTTTCTGTATTCTTATTTCTCTGTCCTCCTTGGCTAGCACATACACTGCATTTTCTTCCACTGTCCTCCACAGTTCAATTACTTTACTGCCACAACATCTTTGTGATGTTGAAAAGTATTACATTCCCACAGAAGAAAGAAAAGGTTAAATGATTTAGTTAAAGATGCAGTGAAACTCAGTGTTGGTATAGAACTCAATTCAAGAGTCCCAGGCATGGTTTCATGCTGTTATGCTTTCCCTCTTTTTAACAAAAGCTTACACTGACTTCTCAGTAGAGTAACAAACTCTGTTACTGGTTAATGGCCAGCAGCCTGATGGAATTTATGATGACCATAAAACTATCAGCCTGTGTGTCAATCCTCTAGTCATAAACTGGGTCTGGTGCCCTTACAACATGAGTTGAAGAGGTCTGCCAAACTAGCCATGCACAACAAGACTATGAATAACCTATTATTTTTCTATGAAAAATATCACTGCCACGAGTTGCCAGTCTTGATGATCAGGTTATATTTTGAAAAAGATTTCACACTTCAAAAAATTGTAAACATTTTAAACAAAAGTTCAGTTTTCCTTGACACTTTATCAGAAGGGAAAGTAGCCAAGAACTTTACAGGGTTGGTGTGATTAAAAACAAGAAGTACATTTAAGAACCTCAGAATTTTAGATAGCATGTAAAGTAGGTAAATATTACTGACTATGACAGAAAGGTCATGAGTACCCTGTAGCAAGGGGAGTACTGAATCAGAAGAAAATCTAAAGCAAGAAATTAGCAAAAAATTCAAAATCAGATCAGAATGGTCAGTACATTTTATGCTGAAGTGGGTGCAGTTCTTTCCTATGCATAATTACTTCACTTAAAGTCAGTTTCAATGAATAGCTTTATATTTTGTTGGAAAGCGGAGAATTTATCTGTAGGAAATATTCCTGTATCAACACATTGTAAAGTATGCATTTATAAATCAGTTATTTCCTCCTCCCTTCAAAGTGAATGCTATAAAATCTCTCTTTGACACCATAATTCATTTTTTTCCTAAAATGAGAATGTAACTGCTATATATTTCTGGGCCAAATCAATTCTTTTATTTTCAAAATATCTATTTGAAATATTTATTTTGTGTGGTCTTATTTAAATGTAGTTTAAATACTTTGTAAACCTGTGATTTGCCTAGGCATCTAAAGATTGTAGTGCACCAGCTGCACTAACTGACACAGAAGATTTTGAAGGTATATGGACACAGAAATTTGTGCAGGTTTTCAAGATTGTACATACTTAAAAAGCTGATGTTCAGGAACTGAGACATCATGCATGGTGCAATAACCTTGAAAGAACAGAACTATGAATTCTACAATACATAGCTGTCTCGGACGGCCAGAGCCGACTCGAGGTGATTTAGAAATTGCTCGTTCGTTAGGGCGGGCTGGTGAATGGAGAGGCAGACAAGGTTTAATGGTTGCAAAAACTTTTACTTACGCCGCTTGTAGTTGCGACGCAGATGGTCCGGTCGTCTGAACAACTATGTGAGTTGTTCCAGCTAGCGAGGCCCAAGCCAGTTAATCCGTCCGCAATTTAAGCCGGCGGGAAAAGGGTACGTCTGGGATTGCGCTCGGCGACGGGAAGAAGGATCGATAGGTAATCAGTCTATCGATCAGCTAGCCACAAGTCAGATCTCTTTAGAGGCACTCTGCAGCGTGCTCAAAGTTCTTCGACTTGGGCAGAAGTCACACGAAATTTTAAACGGCTAGCAAGCCAATTACTAGCCGCCACGTAGGAATAATTTAGAACTAGCCAATAGCGGGACACAAATTTGCATTCGAATAGCGGGAACTCTTTGCACCGTGCATTTCTGTGCTGCAAAGAAGAAATGCACCCTGCAAATTGGCGGGAACTCTCTTGCACCAAGGTTCTTCTGTGCAGTAAAAACCCTCGCTGTGCAAGAGGCTCTCATGTGGCAAGAAAATTCCATCGTGCCGAGGCACCAAAATCACTGGGTTGTGACAATAGCTACCTATCTGAACTTGATGTGGTGAGGGTTGTACTGCATAGATTATACATCCACCACATGATAAGCAACAATGATTTTGTGTTGTCTTGATTTCCATCAGGTAGAACACTGAGTTCAGACTGTTTTTAAGCCTGAGGATTCATTTCTTACACAAAGTCATATGGACCAGGCATCTTGCATCCTTTAACTGCTTCTTTGGGAGGTAGAATCTTAAACCACAAAGTAGAATCTGGATTCAGGTCAAGCTTCAGCAAAATTTGGGGATGTTCACACTCTTATTTTTTTTCCAGAGCTATTCATTTAGAAAGATTTAGAAAGTTCTGTATCTTTAACATCAGACTCAGTCACTCTCCTTCAAGTTGAATAGTTTCTTAGCGTATAAAAATGTCCTGTCAAAATCAAAGGAGGATGGTGGGATTCAACATAAGAACGGCAAAGAACTGGCAATAAGATGAAAGTGCCTGCATATGAATGGGTTTTTTCTTGGCAGCCTTGTACCTTATGTATTTTTATTTGGCTTGGGTATCATGGTCACAGAATACCAACATTCTAATTTTTCTCCATTTCTAATTTTGGTTCTACTGCAAAATCAAGCCCCAAACAAAGCAGAGAAAATATAGAGCAATGTAGAATATTGAAGATTTTTTTTCATTCTTTCTTAATATAAGCATGTAGCTGATCAGCCTGTGTGGCGATCAGACTTTGGTACAGTTCAAACTTGCTGGGCTGTAGTGCCATATCAGTCGTTGCTAAAATGTTTCTATCAGATGGCTTCCTTAATCCAATCCATTTCATAATAATTCTATTGATATGACAGAGAACAATTATAGTCAAAGCTCTTTTGTGGTTGGTTTAAATTAAACACCAAGGTTATGGTTTCCAGTTATAGGGCACACTGAAACGAGTTTAACTTATTGCACTTGATTCTCGAGGCCTATTCTATTCAAGGTTCTGCCAAAACAATCTATTGCACTTGTTTTTACTTGATGGATCATGGAAGGAAAATAATGGATTCAGTTATGAGAAGCAGTAATAGATTTTTTTGAACTGACATAAATGTCTATGTTTAGATAGAAGCAAGGGATCAGGAAGAGATAAGTTGAATTTTTCTACAATAGATGAGCTCTTGTAAAATTCACATCACATAAATTGTACTGAGACCTCTCTTTATGTAATGTTTTATTTATGTAATTCAGTTATTTTTTAAAACTAAATCATTTTAGGTGCTCCTTCAGAAGATCGTTTTGACATAAGCTTAAAAGTTTCAAGTCAGATAAGAAGAATCCTCAATTCTGCTAAACCCTCTATTCTTTAAAAAGCTATGAAGCAACACCATTACCTTAATAATTATGGAGGCTTCAGACTATTTCTGATTCTTGCCAAAAAGTCTTTGCATAGTTCACCTGTATTCTAGAACATGTATAGGACATTTCTAAAGGTCTGATACTACCTTATGCAAGTGAAGGCTGAACTCATATAGAACTCTGCGGTTCACGGTTGTATCAAAAGTATATTGTGTACACAGCAGAAACATGCCATAGAACAATACAGAATTATTTTACCAACTTTTACTTCCTTATTTCTCTATCCATTATACTGAATCTGTTTTACTATGGAATGTATCAAATTTATTAACATGCAGAAAATTTTTCATGTCTCATATTGATCCAAAGAGCCAAGAAGAACCAAGAACCAAGGAGAGAACCAAGGAGAAAATATCAAAGACTCATATGTACCTGCAGGAAGCAAACATATATAGCCTTCTGGAGCTCAGCAACAAAACTGTTGAATGTACCTGCAAGAATACATTACCCAGTTCAGTCTCTGAAAGATGTTCAATTACAGCAGGGTGGGCAGTTATTTTGGGTAGAGGGCCACTTAACAAGTTTTGATGAGCTGTCAAGGGCTGCATGGTTAGCGCTGCCCCTTGACAGTTGCCCCACTCCCGGTCACCGTCTTGGGACTAGAAGTCTCACTCCTAGCTCCTGACCTTCGCCCCTGGAAGTCCTTCCTCTTGACCCGCCCCAGAAATACTCCTTCTTGAAGGAGAGGGGCGCTTGCCATCTTAGAACCAGAAAAAAAAAACAAATCATACAGTAAAGGCCAAGCACCTACAATAACGTATTTTAATTTTATTACAAAAAATATTTTTTCATGATTCATGTTTGTGTACTATATATAGAGGGGATTCCATAATAACTCAAAAATACATTCTTGGTCTTGCATATTGTGGGGGTGTTTGGTTGTGTGTGTGTGTATGGTGGGGTGTATATGTGTGTGTGTGTGTCTGGTAGGGCATAGGAGTGGGGGGTTTGAGAGGTATGGCTGTGTGTGTGGGGGGCATAGGGTATGTTGGGAGTTGTGTATATGTGGGGAGTTGTTGGGGAAGGGTATGGGTGTGTGGCATTTGTTGGGTGTGAGGGAGGGTGAGGCATGTGCCCCTCCTCCCCCCCCCCCCATGGCACAGCAGCAGCAGGCTAGGGCACTCAGGGTGCTTGTGTTGGCACAGGCTCTGGTGCCCAGCAGGATGTAGTTCCAGCCAGTGCTGCACAGCATGAGAGGCACAGCCTCCACTGGGCAGTCTCTGTCACTGGTGCTCCCCACCACGCATGCACAGGGAAACCCCATGCACTGGAGCTGGCTGCCTTCCCTGCCAGGGCTACACAGCATGGGGGGGAAGCCCCAGGAGCCTTCCTCTGGGAATGAGGAAGGCACCCAGATCCAGTACCTGAAGCTTCCCTTCTGGTGTGTGTAGAGCTGGCAGTGATGAGCTATATGAAAGTGGACTGGTTTGGTAACCCCCATCCTGCTAAGGTGGTGAAGTGGTATGGTGGTGGGGAGCACCATGAGGTCTGCTAAGGGGGGAGGAGCAGGCATGATGAGCTCCAGGAGCCGGGGGGACACTGGGGGACAGGGACTGCCCTTATCCAGGACCTGTTGGATGTAGCCAATAGCAGTATTCTACAGGGTGCCCTTGACTTCCTGTACTAAGCAGCAGGACACACACAGTGTGGGCAGCTCTGCATGCAGAGCCAGTGCAGAGGAATCTGCCCATCCCTGCCTGGGATAGCAAGGACATCCCTGATATGGATGATGCTGGCCAGGCCAATCCTTTTGTGCACTCATGGTATCTGTGTCGTTGGCACCACCAACTGAGGGTTTTTCAGCAGGGGCTTGGCTAGGATATCTGCACACTGAACAACCATGTGTAGGGACCTGCAGGCAGAGACCAGCCTCCAGGCCCTGAGGAGGTTCTGGTAGAACTCCAGCTGCCTGTTAAGGCCTCGTATGGGGATGCCTTCCAGGTAGAATAGCTGCTGGAGCCCTTGAAGGTGGTGGAGGAATGTATGTCCTATTGGGCACCTTGTCACTTGGTTACTGGCACCATAAAGGAGCCTCTGGAGGACCTGAAGGCAGAAGGTGTGGACCTGACTGTGGAGGTAGACCAGGTGATGGTCCCTTCACACAAAAGGAGCCTCAGGACACCTGCAGAGACCCAGTGCCCATCTCTGGAAGTGAGCCAGAAGCTCAGTGGCCATGGGAGCCCAGGTGGCTGGAGACTGCAGGGAGCAGACATGGGAAATAGGAATCGGCACAGTGCTGATGCTGTCTCTGCCCCAGCTCTGATCCCTGCCCAGCTACTGCTCCCAGGTGTGATACCTGATTGTAAGACAAGGCTTTGTTTTCTCCATGATGAATGGGAGAAAAATTCATCTTGAAATCAAGTAAAGATGGTAAATTGTTTAATAGTCCTTTGCTAAGATTATCACATTACGATTAAGCTTCCACTTGAGAGAGCAGAACCTTTAGTTTTGTAGTGAGGTACAGAGTGTTTATTAAACAGCAACAACAATAAAAAGTAGGACCCTTGATGATGATTGTAAAGCTTGTTTTGCAGAAATAAAAAGAAAAGGGAGAAATAAAAAAGTATCGTATCATAATGCTAAGAGTGTCTATGTCTGTTTGTGGGTAGGAGGGAATAAGAATTTAGGCCTGACAGAAAAACACTACTCATGCTGAAGGAGGCACTGGAGAAGTCTGTGGCATTATCTTCTCAGGAAAAACAAGAAAATATTGCATTATATATTTATTTTTGGTCATTACTTTGAAAAGAGCATCTGAACATGTCTATTCTGTCTATATGCCTATGTACTATATAATTAGGCATGGCAGAATTTGATTTTTTTTAATACTTTCAATGGATAATATTAATGTTTATTTTTAAGCATTCATTTATAGTTTCATAGTTTCATAGTTTCTAGGGTCAGAAGGGACCTGGGCAGATCATCTAGTCCGACCCCCTGCCATGACAGGAAAGAGTACTGGGGTCAAACGACCCCAGCAAGATGGTCATCTAACCTCCTCTTAAAAACCCCCAGGGTGGGAGCCTGCACCACCTCACTTGGAAGCTGGTTCCAGACCCTAGCCGCCCTGACCGTGAAGTAGCGCCTCCTGATG